AACGGTGGGCAGAGGGCATCCGTGAAGAGATGGAGTGATGCCAGCTTCCGGAGGATCTCTACCATGACAGATTCCTGTGGAGAGTAGGCGTCGCAGAGCGCCCTAGCGCGCCGTAAAAGCGGCTCATACATACAAGGAACGAGACTGAGAGGGGGGGAGGGGCTCAGTCACGGTGGTTGAATGGGGGGAAACCGAGGGGCTCAGACAAGATGGTGGAATAGTGGGAAACCGAGGGATCACCTCCAAAATGGAGGAAAAGAGAGAGGGGAGCTAACTGGGGGGGGGGGGGATGCACCAAACGCCTTATGGGCTTTTTGGAGCTTCCTTAGACCACGTAAGAGATGAACATCTAATGGCGCGTGAAATCCATCATCGGAAGCTCTTAAAAGGGGTGCATTTATTGGTACTTATGCAAAATCAAAAATGACAAACTGAACTTACTTAACCACGAATACAATAAATGGCGGGCGGGGCTATGGCTGACTAAGGGGCTGTGGAGGGCGACAAATAAGGGGGGTGGGAGCCGGAAACCGGACTCCCTTCCAAAAATTTAACCTTGCACAAGGATGGTGGATGGACAATCCCGTGCCATTCCTAGCTTGGAGTGTGCAAAGCACAAACCGGTGTCGGAGGCGGCGACCGGGGGGATGACTACGGAGCCAAGGCCATTCCTAGCCTGGAGTGTGCAAGCACAAACCGGTGTCGGAGGCGGTGACTTGGCAAGGTGAAAGGTAAATGGAAGGAAGCAAGGTGGAAATCGAATAGGGATTTGGTCCGTCCGCGCTCATACGTCGCAGGAGCAGAGCCAAGTCTTACTAAACGAGGAGCTGGGTGACAGATTCGGAGGCTGCTGGCTCCGGCCGCGGACCCCATCAAATGCAAAACATGAAAATCTGTGGAGGAACGCGAACCGAAAGACCAGACAGCGAGATCTATTGGTGAAACATGGATACAAAATGTGCGAGAGAGAGCATGGAGGAGGGCAAATGTGCGGTGGGGCAAGGGGAGGCAAGTGAATCATAAGTACAGAGCGGGCCCGGCCCCGGGACCAGAGGGGCCATGGGGAGCGGGAGGGGGCACTAAATGGGGCGTGAGTGCCGAAAAATGAGTAGACGCAGAAACGGGGGGAAAGGGGGGGAATCTCTCTTTAACATACATACATTTCAAAATCTGCAAATCCCTGTCTCAAACACTGGACTGTTAAGTTGGAGAGCAGAGCACTTCCTCCTCCACACACCCTAAACTGCCAGTTCCACAAATTACCTCAGAGGCCGGGGGGAAGGTGCTCTCCTTGGTAAATAACCACAAGAAATACGAATCTGGTGGTCTCAAGGCTCCCTGGGTGAATCTTTTTTTTTGACCTTACCCTCTCAGAATTTAACGAAACTTAATACCTCACTCTCTGTAGCAAATCCAGCAAAAAAAAAATCAACATTAAATTTTTTTACCATCTGGTTAAATGGGTGTATGAAATTCTGCTAAATTTACCCCTCGTGTATTTTGACCAAATTTCAATATGTTATTCCTTAGCATAGGATACGCCTTTCTTCAAAATGTCAAGGCCTGAAGTGAACTTCTTTCCGCGTAGCAGCGTTACCAAGTTGTAAACCATTGAGTTCCATATCTTTTGAATGAAAAAAGATATTGAGGTGCGGTTTGCGCTGAAATTCTTCCGAAATTGCGTTCTTTTGAAATGTGCATTCAATTTGATCGTTAAGGTACTTTAAGATTGCAATGATGCCATTTTTCACACTTTCTTGAGGACCAACTTTTTTTCAACCCCAGTATGTCGTGAAATGCCGAATTCTCAATTCGATCCAAAAGCTGTTCATATTATTTGCCGTACTTTACCGAAAATTTTGTGTATTAGACCTTTCAGGGAAACGATTGATACGCGAGATATGAACTATCAAAGTTAACACTTTGCGCGCAGACCAGAATCCCGGCGCTCGGAGTCGTCTGCACACCCCATCTATTGCCACCAACAAGCCTCAGGAGGTCATACCTGTGTATTTTTTTGCGTATTTTCCATTTCTGGGCTTTCAAAAGGCGTGAGATGAATTTTTAGGGGCCTAACGGTTCATGGTAGCAGTTTCTGACCCATTCTTAGGGTTTTTTCACTTTTACTTAAATGAAACTTTATTCTAACTGAAAACTGTGTACATTTTTGGAAGGAACATAAAAATATGAATAAAACTATTAGTATAACTTTTTCCTACATCACCAGATTTCGGGAAAATCGCCCAAAAGAGAAAAAACTGGCAGAAATTTAAGAAATCGCCATGCCTTCAGTTCAAGAAAGTGGGGTACAACGCTCGTACTGACCTGCGAAACGGCTCTTACCCATTCATACAATAGATAAAAAAAAAACATACTTGTACCAAGAGTGCCGCGTTGTGAAAATTGACCGGAATGTCACGTTTTGCGGCCTTTTTTGTACTTAAGGAAACTCTTTCACATGTTTTTCGACCTCAGGTCACACTCCTCAATGGTGTACCATTAGGGTGCGTCCAAAAAATTGAAAGTCTGAAATGTTCCGCTCCCGAGGCGGCAATCGACGACGTTTGGTAAAAAAACATGTTTGCCAAAATTTGGGCCAATTTCAACCATTTTAAATGGTGCCAAAGGTCAATTTTGTGATGAAATTATGATATTTTGGTTTAGACCTCGAATTCGTACAGAAAACTCGATTTTACGCTGAAATCGTACGTTTACGAGAAAAATGCCATTGAATTCAAGTTGTAGAGGATGAAATTTTACTCCAGAAAGACGTCTTTTTAAACGATAAAAATCAAATTGAACTAGAAAAACTCAACTCTGTATTTATTTTTTTGGTCCTCAGAATTTCCGAGGTCTTACAAAGTAGCGGTTTAAAAGACTCATTTTTCACGAAAATAAGTCAAAAGAGGGTATAAATGAACTGTAGACGTGAATATTTAAAAAAATGCAACCTCCTGCCTTTCAAATTTGGCCGCCATCTTTGATTTGGAGCGCCCCCTTTGATCGGAGGGCCTTGTTGAGTTCATTTATGTAATCTACAACCAAAATTACATAGGAAATGACACCTCACATGACACAGAATGAACATTTTAAAATACCGATTTGTCGGACCCCTTTTTACGGCCGCCATTTTGAATTTTAGGTACTTTGAGGGGTGTTCCGGGGTCGGGCCATTTTTAACTTTTAGGAAGTTGTTCAGGGGGACCTACTGATGACGATTACATAGGGAAAGTTTGTCACGCAATTTTTCCCGGTCAAACCGCACTTCTCCCATACTATTATAGCACGATCCTGCTTCTCGAGCCGTACACTTTTTGGAGGATTGTGCAAAATAGTTGGAACTTTATTTGAAACTGAGGAAGTTCTGATGACATTTGCATCCTCAACACTTGCCTACAGTTCATTTATACCCTCTTTTGACTTATTTTCGTGAAAAATGAGTCTTTTAAACCGCTACTTTGTAAGACCTCGGAAATTCTGAGGACCAAAAAAGTAAATACAGAGTTGAGTTTTTCTAGTTCAATTTGATTTTTATCGTTTAAAAAGACGTCTTTCAGGAGTAAAATTTCATCCTCTACAACTTGAATTCAATGGCATTTTTCTCGTAAACGCACGATTTCAGCGTAAAATCGAGTTTTTTGTACGAATTCGAGGTCTAAACCAAAATATCATAATTTCATCACAAAATTGACCTTTGGCACCATTTAAAATGGTTGAAATTGGCCTTAATTTTGGCAAACATGTTTTTTTACCAAACGTCATCGATTGCCGCCTTGGGAGCGGAACATTTCAGACTTTCAATTTTTTTGACGCACCCTAATGTATCATGTCTTGGATCCGTACTTTTCTTTTTTTGCTATGAAAATGGCTTCAGATTAATTTCAAGGGCCTTAGGGTCCATTGTTGCCGATTTTGGCTGATTTTTACGGGTTTTTCAATTTGACATGTGTTTAAATTAATTTAACCTAAGAATGGGCACATTTTTAGGAATTACATCAGTAAAAAATTACATCAGTAACAGTCTTGGTAACTTTTCCTTGCATTGCTAAATTTTCCCGAAAAATCGTCTTAATTTGCCAAAAATTGAAGTAATTATTCCATAATTTATTAAAATATTCAATATTAGAGAAATCGTAATTTTTCTTGTTAGATAAGTTATTTGTAGTAAAACAAAGGTCAAATTTACATTTCCCACCTGAAAGTCATCATTCACTTCCTAGAACCTTCGACATGATAATTAATCCAATTATCAATACTCTAGGTACAATGGTTTTTCTCGAAAAGGTGACATAGGAAAAAAATATTTTAATAGCTTTATTAATTTTTTCACGGTCCTTCCAAAAACGTACACAGTTTTCAATTTTAATTAAGTAAAATTGAAAAAAATCCTAAGAATGGGTCAATGTTGAGAGTAGGCGTGACCTTTGATAGCTCATATCTCGCGTATCAATCGTTTCCCTGAAAGGTCTATTATATCAAAATTTACGGTAAAGTAAGGCAAATAATATGAACAGCTTTTAGATCAAATCGAGAATCCAGCATTTCATGACATACTGGGGTTGAAAAAAAGTTGGCCCTTAAGAGAGTGTAAAAAATGGCAGCATTGCAATCTTAAAGTACCATTACGATCGAATTGAATGCACATTTCCAAAGAAAGCAATTTTTGAAGAATTTTAGTGCAAACCGCACGTCAATATCTTTTTTTCGTTCAAAAGATATGGAGCTCAATGGTTTACAACTTGGCAACTCTGCTAGGCAGAAAGACGTTCATTTCAGGCCTTGACATTTTGGGGAAAGGCGCATCCTATGCTGAGGAATAGCAAATTGAAAATCGGTCAAAATCCACGGTGGGGGGGGGGGGGAATTTAGCCGATTTTGCATACACCCCTTCACAGGGGTTTGAACTTTTGAAAGAGCCAGTTTTCATGAGGATGACTAACTTGAAAGGCCTGTATCTTTGCCAATCTTTTTACTTGAATACTCCTTACAGTACTGTTAAAAAACTTAAAATGTACCCTCATGAATGACAATACACGACTCATTAATGAGACTTGAGCCCATATTTTTCAGATAAAAAATTGTAAGTTTTGATACTTTTCGATACTTTTTGATTTCAATCAAATAGGTTCAAAATTGTGGTAGGTATCCTGCTTCTAAAGGTTCTCGGCTAACTCGAGGATAAAGGCTAAAGGTTAATGGCTACCTCGAGGCTAGACCCCTTTTTATCCTTAAAGGACATCGAGGAGGATCTCAGGATGATACAATTAGGAATTTCTCAAGTCAATTCCCTCTTCGTTCCCATGGTTTTCGTTCCGTCTGACCTAAAATAACAAAAGCAAAAAGCTTTTGGTAGCATGGGTTTTCAAGAGAATATTTTCAAGAGGACTTTTGGATTGCTGAATAAATTATTGATCTTTACAATTCCAAGAGGAGGAAATTTTTCTTAGTTGCCGTCACAGAAAGTTTCATCCATGAATTTTCTATAATGAGATTAGAGATCCAATAACTAGGTAACTACCTGTTGCCAATTTGATGCACTGGGTGAATTGACCAAGGACTTTAAGATAAAGGCTTGCACTGGTGCCAAAACTGCACAGGGGCCTCCTTCCCATTGAATCAACGCTGTTGGCTCATCTGGACTAAAATTAAAACCTGAAAATAAGCACAGACCAAAATGAGAATGTCGTTCATTTTACGCTTTCAGCTTTGCATTCAGAATCAATATTTTTACAGGCTAAAATGGAGATAAAGTTGATTAATAAGGTATCATGTATGGAGTACTGAGAAGATGAATGCTTATGGTAGGACCAAAAACTTTGGTGGTATCAAAATGATTAGATTCAGAAAAGTTATTCGAAAAAAAAGTTGGTAGCAAGACTTTTTCTTGTAAGGTCAAAACTGCATGTGTAAAACAGGGGAGAAAAAGAAAAAACATGATTAGTGAAATTGAATGGGTATCTATGCGCTGTATGATTACCTGTCAAGGCTTGTAAGGGGCACCATCTGGGGATAAAACCAGGTTCATGACATTAACACTGGCAGAATACACCCTAAAAAGTGGAAAGACTCTTAGAGTGTATGAGAATCTGAGCTCCCTACGTTATTTAATTGAAAGTTAATGCAAGAATCAAGATGACAAATCTTACTTCTCACCATTACAGTATGTCAAATTCATGGAGGCTGTTGAATGGCATGAAATGTATAAAATTTAAAGGTTAGCAAACTATTCTGTGGATCTTGAAAAAAAGAGCTATATGCAGATATTTCATGAAGAATGCAGATCTTCTGCACAGCTTCAGGGAAAATTCAGATTTATGGCGCATCCACAGAACTCCTCTAGGATCAAGAGCCTGAAAAGTCAGCCTTAACGAAAATTAGACACTGACTGGTAAGGTTGCTCTTTTAGTGTGTCTTTGAAAGACCTTAAAAGTCAGCACAGGTCACATCACTAGGCATGGACACTGAAGTGAACTAATCCAAAGGAGCAAAGCAGGGCTAAATCCACATAGCCAAATCATCATCACATTGAAGTTATACGTCTGAAATTTTTCAAAGGCGTCTACAGCAAGTATGAGCAAATGAAAGAATTGCTGCCCCGAAACTGACCTGCTATTGGATTCACTTATGGGGTTGCTAAATTTCGACCGATTTTGAGTCAAAAAACGCGAAAGAAAACAAGGGAGCAACAGAGTGCTAAACAGTTACCAAATCAATAGAGTTGGTTCCTTTTGAAGTGTTCTTCCTCCCAGTTCCGATCCAACCGCAAAAGTTATATTCTTCCGGAGGACAGAAAGCTATTGTCTTTCATGTGACTTCTATGCAAGGCGGATAAAGAATGGTGGTCGCATCTCGATTTTGGCTGCCATCTTGAAGATGTGTGACGTGCAGAGGGTACGGGCTCAGTGGCGTGCGGTGGGTTCAGTGACAGGGCAAGCTCTAGCGTTCGCCATCCGGGGGGGGGGGGGGGGGTGTTAACGTAGCCTCTTTCCCTTCCCCCTCCCCCTAGCCTCCCTAGAAAATTCTAAAAAATTTCACTCTATTTGCTCCATTTTTCGGATGAAATCTGATGGAACGTAACGTCTTAAAAAACTGTATTTTTATTTTTTTCTCTCTTATTTATGATTTCGTTTACTCAACTTGTTTCGAATGTTATTGAGCATTGGAGGACGGCTCCTTACTCATAACTCCTAATTTTGCCAGTTACTTGAGGTATTATCGTCTTTATTCTACAGCATTTAAAATTTTTTGAGTTACTTAAACCCCCAAAAAAAGGCTTTCTGCATTTAAAACATGATTGAGAATTGTCTAATTCATCACCAATTAGATCCAAGTGAGCGAAATTTTATAGAATATAAAGGCATTTGCTCCGGAGGAGCAATACAACCGAGACGGAAAGAGGGAACAAAATAGCGCATCGGAGGCAGAAGCAGCGCGCTGCGGTGACGGGCCAAGAGGTGGCCAAGAGAAGCGAGCTGCGATCGCGCAGCGAAGGGCTCGGACTCGGAACGTACCGCGCTCCCCGCCTGCCTTGATTCCGCCGCCGAGCAGTGGCGCTCCGCTCAGCTGATCGCAAGCGATTCTCCAGCGCATGAGTTGGCCCGTGTTCAGGCCGCGCAGCGCGCTGCGCCACCTCCATCCGCTCTTCTGCTTTCCTACTTTGTTGGCTCTTTACGTATTTCTGTCTCCCTCTCTTTCTGTTTTTAATGCAATTTACTTACTGAACGCATTTAATAAATTATGTTTGCTAAAATGTAAAACATTTAATATGTGTAATTTTCTTCTTTCTTTAGAAGTCTTTGGGCAAGCAGTGCTTGCCTTGCTTATCCGGACCGCACGCCACTGTACGGGCTTTAACCGCACGATTTGAAATGTACCCGAAGTGTACCCGATGCCGTGGCACGAAGCTCATACAACTTCCAAACGGAATTATGAGTTTTCCTTCCTGATGAAACGCTTTCAAATCGTATTCTGAGTTAATTTTTACTGAGAATTTGCAAGGAAGTTACGATCATTCTAATATTTGATATTTCTGGCTGAAATTTTTGTTTAAAGAAGTGTACCCGATGAGCTCATTCCTTCACGCACATGTGCAACTTTCTGACGGAACTGGACCTATCATTTTGAACTTAGTAAGTATACTTTTGGATTTTTGAGAGCTGTGATGCGGTACTTTTCCCTTATAAATTAGGAAATAACATCCAATCATTCTTCTCTTTGATGCTTCCAGGAGAAATTTGTACTTTCGGAAATTTGGGAGACAAGTGTGAAAATTGGAAAAACGGAAAGGGGGCCGGGGATTTCTATAAAACGAAGGGAGGGCTTCCCCCTAGACGAGGGGGTTTGGGGGATCCCCAAAAATTATATTGATAATCAGGTACCCATAGAGAAAATAAGAAATATTAAAAAAAAAAAAAAAAACCTCTCACGAATTCCTTTGGACACAGTTTTTAAATTATTCACTGATAAAAATAGCAAAATAAAATACACTGCAGTAATTTCCCTTTAAATTCGGGCAATCAATGCCAGAAATACTTACAATGAGAAGTGACTACAATACCTTGCAGCATCAGAGTGCAGCGTAAATCTGTAACCTCAAACCCCCTAACTCCGCAGTTTGGTTGGTTTACGATCGTGACGTCAAGAGGGTACAAGAAGCGACCACCATTCTTTGTCCGCCTTAACTTATATGTGTCCAGCGAAGCAAGCAGGCTAGGGCCCTCACTGCCATCCAGTAGGGGTTGGCTTTATACACTACCAGTGAAGTAAGCGCACCAATTTCTACATCTTGGTTAACAGCTTGGAGATGTGCACCGAGATACGGCAAAAACGCATCATCCAAGTACTTCTGCATGGTAAGTGATCTCTAGTTAACGAAAGTTGAAAATTGGTTTCAACGACCATTTAGACGCATTAGTTACGTACCACACGTCAATAAGGCGGCTATATCTATGGTAAGAGTCCAAAGTGGGGCCTATTTCAAATGCAGCCAATGTTTAAGTTAAGTGGCACTGCACTTTACCTGAGCAGCCATATTCTTGGAGCTGCTTTGGTTACCAAGAGTGGGAATAAGAGTATTGCGGTTTTTCCAACAGTACCCTCACCTTCATTCTAATCTGGTAATAGCATAGTCCTTTTGAAGAATACATACCATGCATTAAAAAGCCATAAATGGGGCTTTCAGTTCTAACTATGGTTCCTGGAAATTCATGTTCTTCAGAAAAATACTGCATAAGTTTAAACACACAAAATTAATCAATTATATCCATCGGGGATATCATGTTGATGGTGGAGAGCTTCAGATATAACCTACGGGAAGGATAATATGATTACGAAAATGTCTGCGAATTGAAAAAATATGATGAACGTCTTAGTACCTTGAGTCCATCTTTGAAAAATGTCACTACGAACAACACTACCCCACATTAATTTGATAATGCCACTGAGTTCATCAAAGCTGTGCAGCTGTGTCGAATTTTCGCTGGATGTACTTGCCATAGCTAGTGCCGTAATATTTTATTATTTAAACTTCTGTAGAAAACTTTACATTGTGATCCGCATTCCGAAGATATGGATGGATGCTGTGCGATAGTGAATTACGGTAATAAATAAATTTTGGATTCCTAACCTCCTGTTATTTATTTACTACGGTTTACGCATAGAGAACAATAAAGTCGCACTGGAGCGCCGATCGATGAGGTCAATCCATGATTCCATGAACGGACCTTTCCGAGCCGCTTATGCCATGGACCAATAGAATAAATAAGGACTCCCAACTCCCTATGCTACCCTGTGTTAAAAACCGTTAACGCGCGCTCGCAGCGAACCTGGCAGAGGGTGCGGTGAACTAACGCCGCAGCGGTCCACGATCGTACCTCTATAGTATGTTATTCCATGCAATGTTCTTTGTTTATCTATGATTTATTTATTTGTGTAGATACTTTAATACATTTTACTTTCGCAAACTAATGAAATTGTATAGATACAT